CCCCCCCCCTCTCTCTCTCTCTCTCTCTCTCTCTCCGTGTGTGTGCGCGCACCACCACAGCCCCTCTGTTTCCGAGATACTATAAATGAGAAGTGCTTCGATCGTAAGACTACCTGCAGCTATAGATACGAGTCGTTGGCTTTAACGCAACCCTCCTTGCCTGCTTCCACCCAGGCGCGAAACCTGTCTACGCGGCTCGTCCTACAAGAGGATGCCGTGGCGGAAGAGGATCCTGCACTAACAAGCATGTGGTGGTGAGACTGCGAATGTCCCGCCTCCCCGCAGGCAACCACCGCTGCTGCTTCGCCCTCATTCGATTTGCGCAGCTTGCAATTTCCGGCCGCCCTCGGCCCAGCCAACCCTCCTCCTCTTCTCCTCTTCCTCTTTCTACGGAAAAGATCCTCCGTGTCCAAGACGTAGGACACCTTGGAAGTGGAACAGGAGATTTTGCTCTCGAGTCCGTTATAAATCGAGACACCCTCCATGGCCTTTAGGATGACCGACGTTTCCACAGCCCCCCCCTCTCCTCCGCCTGGTACAGCTCCCGCTTCCTCTCTCACGAACTTGCGCATGTTTCTAGGCAGAAACACTCTGCGATTTGACCTCATTTGGACCGCGTTCTTGTCACCGCCTCCTGCCCCTCCTCCGTCTGGAAGACTTCCCGCGTCCAGAAACTCGGACAAGTATCCCGCAAACGACGACTCTATGGCTCCCCCAACTCCGACTCCCATCCTCTCCCCGGCCCCGTCTTCGATCAACCTCACAGTAAGCATGCTCTTGTGTCGCGACGAGTGAACAATCCGGTACATGTTTTCGTCGTGAAGCAGCACACACGCATTGGCCTGATAGATGACATCGTCAAACGCGCCTGCCGCGCGGGACATTTCGTAGTGGTAGAGAGAAAGCAATTGGCAAGACATGTCGTCTGTGGCCACCGTCTGGAGCTGTCGAATAAGCTTGAAGATGAGCTTATCGATCCCGACAAGAAGGGAGGCGGCGGCGGTGCCAATTATGCCGCTGCACTCGCCCTCGAATCGGAAGGAAGAGGAGGAGGAAGAGGAGGGGGCGGCCATAGCACCTCCAGGATGGTGGTACTTTTTCTCCATGGAACTCACTAAGTGATCGTAGACCATCTGCAAGAAGACGCTGTACGCGTCCGAAGATTGGGAGTCCGCAGCTGTCTTACCGTGCCTCTTCTTCTCGTTGGCCTTGGAAATGGTTTTCGCGGAATGGATACGATCGTACAGGAGATGGTGGAGACGAAAGAGGAGATAGAACTGGTCATTGCCGTAGAAAATGCGGCAGTTTTTGGGAGATCGACCTTCCAACGAGGACGAAGAGGAGGCGGGAGGAAG